AGAAGGGGTGTGTGTGGTGCAGGTGGTTTGCCAACCGGTGGCTAGTGAGAGGGGCAAGTGTTCGGAAGTGGCATGCGCGGGTGGGGGGGGGGGGGGGGGGGGGGAGGGGGGTCAAGGGAAGCGAGGAGGTGAGGAGGTGGGGGGGGGAGGGGGTTAGGGTTGACTTATATGGATGGTTGGTCATGTGGCATGTGGTGGCTTGTGTATGTATGTTGCGTGCATGTGGGTGCGTGTGGGGTGGGCGGGGGTAGAGCAACTGTTTCAGCTCAAGTTTACCTCGAAGCAGTTCACGCGGATGTCTAAGAAGGCCAAGAAGCAGGAGGCGGCGCAGCGGAGGAAGCTGAAGAAGGCCATCGAGGACGGGAACACTGAGGGTGCACGGATCTACGCGCAAAACGCCATTCGAGAGAAGAATCAATCACTCAACTATCTACGGATGGGCTCGCGCATCGATGCTGTCGCCTCGCGCCTGCAGTCCGCTATCCAGATGAAGCGCGTGACAAAGACTATGGCCGGCGTGACAAAGGGCATGGACAAGGCGCTGCAGTCGATGAATCTCGAAGAGATCTCCGCAGTCATGGACAAGTTCGAGGAGCAGTTCTCAGACATGGACGTCACCTCGCAGTTTGTCGAAAACGCCATGGGCGACTCGACACAGGTCTCCGCACCGGTGGAGCAGGTCGACTCGCTCATCCAGGAGGTCGCCGACGAGCACGGCCTCGAGGTTTCGGAGCAGCTCGGCACGCCCTCGCTCTCCCAGCCGGCATCCACTGCAGAGGCCGACGCCGAAGACGACCTCACCGCACGCCTTGCCGCCCTCCGCTGAGCCACGCCTTTGCCGGCGGGCTCTGCTGCTCATCGTAAACCGTCCACACACCCTCGACACCTTGCCTCCTCGACCACAATCCGCTCGTCGAGATACCTCGCACTCGAACGCGCCCGCCACAGCCCGCCGCGCCACGCCCACCGCCGGCACTCGTCGCACCGCTCGTACTCGCGATGGAGCCAGAAGATCTCATCGTCGCCGAGCCCATCCCCCATGGCGCGCGCAAGGCCCTCCAGCTCCAGCCCACGCATACCATGCTCGGCCAGCGCAACCTCGCCGGCGAGCGCCTTGAGCGGCGGCACGACCATCGCACCCGCGATGAAGCCGTCAACTTCCTCGCTCCTCGCCCACTCGTTGCCATGCAGGAGGGCTCGGATCCGCGGGAGCGACGAGTCCTCTAACTCCACCTGGCGCGCCATCGGAAGTCGCGCACGCTGCACGACATCGCCCGTGAACAGCGCCGCCGGCACAGCCGCCAGCGCGTTGTCGTGTAAATCCAAAAAGTCGACTCCGTGCAGTGCCCGCAAAAGCCCGCTCACATCTACTAGCGCGTTGCTCCCAAGGTCCAACCGCGAGAGACGTAGCTGTGATCCAGCCTGACGTGCCCACTCCTCGAGGGCGCGCACCTCGGTTAGCGCGTTGCTCGCCAGATTGAGCACTCCAACTGGCGCGCGCGGATGCAGCTCGGGCGCGCCTACCAGTGAATTGCCGACGGCGACGAGCGTCACCAGCTTGGCGCAGTACCTCAGATCAAGCGAGCGCAGCTTGTTCCACGACACGTCCAGCGTCTCGAGCACAGGCAGGGCGGCGGCGAGCGTCACGGCGAGCGGTAGCGCCTCGAGTCGGTTCTGCGAGAGCACAAGCCGCCTCAGCGCCACAAACCGCAGCCCGCCATCAACAAGAGCAGCCAGACCTCTGCCGTCGAGCTGATTGTGAGCAACGTTGAGCTCTGTGAGACTCTCCGCGCTTCGCGCCAGCCGTGATCCGACCACTTGTTCGACACTGCTGTGCGTCAGCGAGAGCACCTGAACCGCCGCCAGGCTTTCCAGCCCTGGCGGCAGCTCGCGAAGCCGCGAGTGATCAAGCTGGACGGCCGTGAGGCCAGGCAAGTCGCTCAACCGGTCGCCAGCTTCAGCGTTGGGCAGCCGGAGCCGGAGACTCGTCAGTCTGGTGAGGAAGCGCGTGGTTGGCGGGAGGACCGCGGTCGGTGGGACGCCGCTCCCGCTCCGGCTCGCCACCACAGACAGTCTCACCAGGCCCTCCATAGACGCAAGATGATCTGGCAGCTCGAGGTCCGTGCCGGACGGCTTGCCTATGATCGTTAGGCTGCAGACATCCGCAAAGAGCCGGGCTGTCGCCGCCACATCGCCGCCGGACATCCAGTCGATCTCGGCCGCGTCGATGGTCATCGCCAGCTCGCTGCGCGGAAAACCGCGCCGGACGCTCACCTCGACCACGCCCACTATGCTGTCTGCTACCACTTCATCGCCTGTCGCAGTTGCATCGTACTCGCAACTCCCTGTGCCGTTCTTGAACACTTGCTGGATCGGGACGTAGCCGTCGCCGGGCCCGTCCTGGACCAAGACCAAGTCGACCCGATCGATGTCCGGCGCCGCCTCGCCAGCCTCGCCCGCTTCACACCGGATCGTCAGCCGTGAGACCTCAAGTTCGCTCCGGCGCACAGCGCGCTTGACTGGAGCGGGCAGAAACACCAACGTGGACGCCGTCTGGCTCGGATGCGGCGCAGGAGTGCTGGGGATGAGCGGCAGCGGCGATCCGGCGGCACCCGCCTGCGCGTACGCCTCGCTGCGATCAACAGACAACGACGTCGAGCGCGAGATCGGTCTTGTCCACACGATCCGCACCAGCAACGGCAGCGTGAAAAGGTCTTGTCCCTGCCAAGGTGTGGCCGCCATGGCGTGCGACCTTGGTCGCGGCTGCAGGGGAGAGAAGAGTAGCTCCGCCCACCGCCAGATCCCCAACAAAAAAAAAGACCCACAGCACGCCCCCCCCCCCCTTTTGGTTGGGGAGGAGGAGGGTACCAAGCGGAGCAAAAGAAGAAAGGGCTCTGATGGCCCGAGAAATTGCCTCGCGAGCTTGCGCCCGGAGGGCCGACGAAAGTAGCTTGCAATACAGCCTGCATCGAGCGTTCGGTTTCCCTCATTGCTTCGATGAATCTTCGCCAACACATGGTTAACAGACGCTAGGTCCGCCGGGATAATCACCACCTGTCCCACGGTTACTGTCCGCTCGCAGAATGGGTTGTGTCATTGTGGCATGTCGTCGTGTCGCACCCACGCCCACACCTCCGTGGCCCCCCCCCTTCCCACCGCGCCTTGAGTACTCCTCTCCCATGCGACGAACAGAGAGCAGCACGTCGAGCGCAAGCTCGCCGTGGGTGAGCAGAGGACGACGGTGGGCTGGTGAGAGCGGGGAGAAGCCCACGCCGGTTTACGGGCGGCCGCGCGAGTACGTGCTGGTCGACTACGCGGCGGCGCCAGCATGGCTCGCCACCAACCGGTACATCCTCAGTGGCTACCGAGCATACTTTTCGTTCCGGCTTTGTCTTGTCTCGATCTTCCGTCTGCACAACGAGAGCGCCAACATGTGGAGCCACCTTGCCGCCACCGGCCTTGCTGCTGCTCTTCTCCACGCGCTGGTTGTCCGGAGCTGGGTCTTTGATCCGGTTGCTCGCGCGGTGGGCGCCGATGGCCCGGGCGCCGACGTCGTCGCCGGCCACTCGTCAGCCTTTGCCATCTACCTGGCCGCCGGCGTGGTCGCCTTTGCCGCCTCGGCCATCTTCCACACCTTTTACTGCACATCGGCGCCGGTCTCGGCCCTCCTTGCCCGGCTCGACTACATGGGCATCGCCCTGCTCATGTCGGCCGCCTTCATGCCGGGCATCCACTTTGGCTTTGCCTGCTACCCGCTCCTCTCCTCGTTTTACCAGCTGCTCATCACTCTTGTCTCTGCCGCCACCCTCGGCCTTCTCCTCTTTCCCTCCATCGGCCTCTTCCACCAGGGCTACTACACCCGGCTTGGCATGTATGGCATGTTGGCCGGCCTTGCTGTCGTCCCCATCTCGCACTGGGTCTACCTCCACGGCTGGGCCGCCGAGGAGGTCTCGCTCATTCTCGGTCGCATGCTCATGGTGTTCTTCTGGCTCGGAGTCGCCGCCGTCATCTACGTCACCCAGATCCCGGAGCGCTGGTTCCCGGGCACCTTTGACTACTTTGGCCACTCGCACATGATCTGGCACGCCATCGCCGCATGGATCTTCTGGTACCATCTCAACTCGGCTCTGCTCTACCTCGACTTCCGCTCGCAGCACGCGTGCCCCAAGGGCCACAACCCCATCGAGTTTGTGGCCAACGCTGCTGACCGCTGACTCACTCCCAAAAACTTGGCCCGTCTTACTGGCTGAGCTACCGGAACAGCGAGTCGTGCTCGTCGCCGTCGCGCCCTGTCGTGTACTCGACGTTGTACTGTGGCGGGACCGCCATCTGGATGAACCGCATCCGGCTGCGCCCGTCGCCGCCCGAGCCCCACCCACCGGCGTACGACGCCAGCGAGTTGTATTGTCGCCGCCCGCCCTCAATCACCACCATGGGAGTCTCAGAAGAGCCGGTGGCTTCGGCGTTAGCATCAGTCGCGGTCTCGGCCGCGCCAACCGTGCTCGTCTCCTCCGCCGACACTGCTGGCCGGCGTCCTCGCCGCGCGCACCCGCCCGCACCGAGCCCCACCGCAACTGCGCCAGCTGCCACAACTACGAGCGCGATTCGGTCTCCGTCTCTGCCTCGGTCGACAATCCGCACCGGGCCGAGCCGGATGACCGGTCCCGCAACCGCCACAGGCGGAAGCGCCACCACCACTGCAGGAGTGGCGCTCCCGGCCACCATCAACGCCGCCACCGCGGCTGTCGGCGGCAGATCAAACACAAACGATCCCACCCACTTGCGCCTCACATCCAGGCCGTTCTCCTGGTGAAAGCAGGTTCCGTTGCGCCTCCCTCCAGCCTCAACCCGCGCCAGGACCACCGTCACCGTCGCCAGCAGAACCGCGCGTGTGCCTGCGCTGTCCTTCCCAGATTCGGGCGCCGTCCACACCTCCAGCACTCGCGTCTTGACCTCTGCATGATCCAGCTCGAGTTGAACGTAGTCTGCTATGCCCTGCATTGCAGGGTACCATCGGCTGACTGGCTCACAGATGACGAGCGTTCTGCGTGTGTGTGTGTGTGAGTGTGAGTGTTGGGGAAGGTGAGTGAGAGGGGGGCATGTGTGATCGCGAGCCACATTTTTACCGATCTCCGGAAAAAGCCGCACACACACCACCAGCGTGTTGTCGTACCCATCGACAAGCCTGCGGGTGTTGACAGCCAAATGCGAAGCAGAGCGCGCAAGAGCATGATTGGGGTCAACTGCAACTGCTGTTGCAACCACAACGACACAAATGCAAGCAAGAACCAAGCGCATCAATATGGTGGTCAAGTGGCCGAGGCTCGCGCGTTTGCGTCCGCGTCGAGTCGCGGCGCAGCTTCAGCCATTGCGTCTAGAGTCTCGACGAGTCGCGGGAGGGCCGGCGAGGCGGCGGCAAGGGCGCCATATGCAGACGTGTCCGCGAGCGTACGGATGGATGCGTAAAAGGCAACCAGCCTGGGCGGCAGCTCGTCGCGTGACGAGGCGGCGAGAGCGGCCAGCCGCGGCAGCGCGATCTCCTCGATGATTTTGGGCGGAAAGTACGACGAGAGCCAGGCCTCGAGGACAACGACGGCGTCGGCGGGGGGAGGCAGAGCAAGTGGAGCAAGCGGCCAGGCGCGGGACTCAAACGAGTCGAGAACAGAGCCGAGACCGCCGTCGATCCAGTGGTCAAAGACCGAGAGCTCGCCGATGGCAAGCGAGGCAAGGACGCTCAGCGCCGCCTGGCAGTCGGCCATCATCTGAAGGTACAGCAGGAGACGGCCATACTCGTAGCGCTTGCCCTCACGGAACCATCGCGAGTCGGCAGCATCGAGGCAGACCTCCCACAGGCCGGCGTCGTCCTTGCCGAGCACCGGCGAGTTGAGCGAGTTGAGCATGTACAACCGGACGCCGTCGGCGTCGCCACTCTTGGTCACCCCGATTGTGACCCAGTGGGTGGCGAGGCCGAGGCAGACCACCACCGCCGACGAGGCCTGGTTGTGAAAGGTATCAAAGACCTTGGAGAGAGCGGCCAGCCGCTGCTCGCCAAACACGCCTTTGAGGAGGAGCGCCACGTCAGAAAGATACACGATCTGGATGTGCGCAGCAGCCAGACGGGCGACCGCCCGGGGTGTCAGCATCTGGGTCATCAGGTACTGAACGTGCGCACGCTCCATCGAGCCGGACTGGATGGCCTTGGCCTCCCACGGAAACCAGAGCTCGTCACCCTTTTCGGCGAGATAACTCAGGAGCCTGGCCCGGGTCACTGCGTAGCTCTGCCACGAGTGCGCAGCGTTGCTCAGCCGCGAAATGGCTCCCCGCCCGACTGCCGATGCCGGCCCGGCAAGTAGAGCTGCCACCAGCCCAGCAGTGTTGGTCAGCATGTAGTAGCCACAGAACGCGTTGTGCATCTGCTTGTAGACCTCGACTTGGACCACAGACACAGGCTTGCCACCCAGACTCTCGATGACCGCCTCTTGAACGCCCAGCTCATCACGGACAACTGGCCAGAGCGCAGCGATGGCGTCGTCTGGAGTCGGCCTGGCGACGAGCGGCACGCTGATGCCGGCCATCCGTGCAGTCTGCAGGAGGTGGTCCTCGACCGCGCTCGCACCAGCTGCCGAGTAGGTAAACATCGAGTTGGGATCGGCAATCGGCCCGCTACCACCACCACCACCACCATCATCATCGTCGCTCTTTCCGCCGCTAGCCTTGGCCGTGGGCTCGGGCTCGTCGACCTCGTGCCCGTCCAGAAAGGGGAGTACGACCGCCACCGGATCGGTGACATGGACGCCGATGATGTCGTGATCAGCAGCCGCCAGGGCCTCTGCAGCTTCGTTCCAGTACGTCCGAGATGTGGCACAATCAATGAGCTCGTTGAGGAGTCCAGATACGACGCATGCCGACGACAAACCTAGGTCTTTTGCACTGCCGCACAGATCCTTCCAATGCTCAGCGGCGGCAGCAGCGGCAGCGGCGCGGGTGCGGCATATGCGGCGTCCCGGGCGGCAAAGCCGTCTGTATCTGGCCAGCTCGCCACTGCCTGCAGCTTAGCCGAGACAAAGCCCAGCGCCCAGCCGTGGTCATCTTCGGAGGCTGCCATAGCGACAAGTGTCTTGTTGGAACGTCGCGCTCTCGCCCGGGCTGTGCCGTCGCCGTGACGCAGGCACTGATTTGGCAGCCGACGGAAGCACGATTGCGACAGGCTCGCGAGGCGTGATTGCAAAGCATCCCGGAGAGGAAAGGTGCTGCGGAGAGCGGGATTGGCGGGCTTGTTTACTCGGATGCGGCGGTGAGGATGGGTGAGGGATCGTCGCAAGATGGAGCCACAGAAACAGCAGCAAGAGCAGGAGCAGGAGCAGGAGCGTCAGCAGCGAGCTCATCGGTCTCGACGGTCTCAACAAACTGGAGATCGCGGTCGTTAGTAAGACGGCGAGCGAGGTAGAGGAATGGCTTTTCAAAGTTGTAGTTGGACTTGGACGAGATCTCGTAGTACTGGACGTTGCGCTTGCGGTGAAAGGTGACCGAGGAGCTGGAGACCTCGCGGGCCGAGCTGTCGACCTTGCTCCCGACGAGGACAGCCAGGCTGACATCCTTGCTCTCAACCATGTCGAACCAGGTCTTGACAGCCTTGTACGACGACTTGTCTGTGACATCAAAGAACACCACTGCGGCGTCGGCGTTGAGCAGATAGTCTTCGCCGAGCCCGGCAAACTTGTCCGTTCCGGCCATGTCCCACATCTGAAAGGTGATTGGTCCACGGGTGGTGTTAAAGGTCAACGAGAGAACCTCAACGCCGACCGTAGCTGTAGCCAGCCGTAGTATCCCCCCAATCAGATCCCGTACCCGACGTCGAGAGCATCGTTGTCGAGCATCGTCCACCACACCAGCCACTCGGGTGCCACCGTGAGTCACCCGGCCGCCACCATCCACCCCAACCATTGACCACTCTATGTGAAAGTGTGCGCATGCGTGTGTGTGCGTGTGTGTGTGTGTGTGTGTGTGTGTGTGTGTGTGTGTGTGTGTGTGTGTGTGTGTGTGTGTGTGTGTGTGTGGATGTGGGCATGCATGCGCGTGCGCAGTGACAATGGATGCGTACGGGTGTGCTCGGCCACAAACTCGCCCGTGGCGTGTCGCCTCAGCCAGGTGGTCTTCCCTGAGCCTGCTGAGCCGAGGACACAGACCTTGTACACGGGTGTGGCAGCCATGCCTGCTCCCGTGTCTCTCCTTGTCCACCTCTACTCTCCCCGAGACGAGTATATTCTCTTGCTGCGAGCACCAGTCCTTTGCCTTGGCTCGGAGCGGGCGCGCGCCGCGGCGGCAAGGCACGCGTCCGACTTGAGCCGACCGCTTGCCAGGTGCGAGCGCGGGAATGGGCGTGTTAGGCGTGTTAGGCCAGAGAAGGGAGCCAGGTACGATCACTGGATTTAGGTGCTAGAAGCAGTTGCGCCGAGCGTGGCAGCGCAGCGGCGGACCGGGAAGGGCAGGCAACGGTTACTCAGCAGCGACGACCTTGTCGCCGGCGCCGATTTCCTCGAGGTCGGCGACAACCATGTCGCGGACGAGGGCATCAAAGGTGACCTCAGGGACCCAGCCGAGCTTGGTGCGGGCCTTGGTCGGGTCGCCGAGGAGGAGATCAACCTCGGTGGGGCGGAAGTAGGCCGGGTCAACCTTGACGACGGGCTCGCCAGTGACCGACGAGATGCCGACCTCCTCGATGCCCTCGCCCTGCCAGGTCAGTTCGACACCGATGACCTTAAAGGCGGCGTCACAGAAGGAGCGGACGGTGTGTGTCTCGCCGGTGGCGAGGACAAAGTCCTCAGGCTCTTCGGCCTGCATCATCATCCACATGCCGCGGACGTAGTCGCGGGCATGGCCCCAGTCGCGCTTGGCGTCGAGGTTGCCGAGGTAGACAACCTTCTGCTTGCCGGCGGCGATCTTGGCCACAGCGCGGGTAATCTTGCGGGTGACAAAGGTGGCTCCACGGCGCGGTGACTCGTGGTTGAACAGGATGCCGTTGCAGGCAAACATGTTGTATGCCTCGCGGTAGTTGACAACGATCCAGTAAGCATACTGCTTGGCCACAGCGTAGGGCGAGCGCGGGTAGAACGGCGTCGTCTCGGACTGCGGCACCTCCTGCACAAGACCGTAGAGCTCCGAGGTGGAGGCCTGGTAGAACTTGACCTGCTTGCCGAGGTTGGCGGCGCGGATGGCGTCGAGAATGCGGAGGACGCCGACAGCGTCCACATCAGCCGTGTACTCGGGCAGCTCAAATGAGACCTTGACATGCGACTGTGCGGCGAGGTTGTACACCTCATCGGGCTTGGCAATCTGCACAATTGACAGAAGGTTCGTCGTGTCCGTCATGTCACCGTAGTGAAGCACAAGCCGCCGCGAGTCGCGGTGCGGGTCCTCGTACAAATGCTCGATGCGGCCCGTGTTGAACGACGACGAGCGGCGGATGATGCCATGAACAGTGTAGCCTACACGCACACACACGCACACACACACACACACACAATTCGACTCCTCGTGAGCCCATACCACCAACCGTGCCTCCACCTCCCTTACCCCCCCTTGCCTTTCGCAATCGCCCTCTCTATTGCATTTCCCCTCCCCCTCCCCCCCCCCTCCCGCCCTTCCTTCCTCCCGCCCGAAACGACAAAATGGGAATCCACGGCCGGCAACGGAACTAGGCAAGAGGCATGGGCTAGGCGAAGCAGCAATGAGTTTGGACAATACGCACCCTTGTCAAGAAGAAGCTCGGTGAGGTACGAGCCATCCTGGCCGGTGATTCCGGTAATGAGGGCAACGGGCCCGTTGCTCTGGACCGAACCGTCGCGAGCGGCCGATGCCACGTCCACACCCAGCGGGTTGTTCTCGGCAGCCATGAATATTTTCGAGTCGAGTGGCCCCTCCTTCACCCGTACACACACACACACACACACACACACACACACACACACAGGAGTGGACATCACCGGCTATCTATTTTATATCAAGGTGATCAAATGCGATACCACTGTCTACCATGAGTCTATCGGGGGCCTTGCGATGATGCCCGCAGGTGATAGGTGATGGCTTTTGTTTTGTTTCTGGGTGGCTGTGATGCTCTTGGTCCTGTGAGGACGGACGGCATCGCCAGCTGAGAGAGCCTCGCCAACCAAGACTGCTCCAACAACAGCCGAGGCTGTCCACCGCAATCAACTCGTTCGTAGATGTCCTAGACGTTCCGGAACCCGCCGATCTCACCGCCTTTCTCAACGCCATGACTGATGAAGAGTGGCGCTCGCACTAGAGTGGGAAGGAGGCGAATGTGCAGCCCAAACTAGTAGAGCTTGCTCGCAAGCTCGGCTGCCTCTCGCGCCCAGAGTGGACAGCGTGTGCCATGTGTCGCGCCTACCACGATGTCTTTGACTATGAGCCCACAGTTGGCTAGGCCGTCCCAGGCCGCGTCGTCGATGCGCGCGAGAATCCAGAGTCACGGAAGCTGTGCAAGTGTTCTCGCCGGATCGATGCTGATAGCGGTGATGTATGATGGCCCACGCTTGTTCATCGTCACTGGCTCGCGGGGGATGGTTGTCTATGCAGTGCATGAGTGATCGGAGCGTTGTTCAAGTTATGCACGCCCGTTGCATAAACAACCAATGTGCTTCCGGGCGACTATGTGCCGACGATCTTTGACAACCACTCGGGTAGTCGTCGTGGTCGTCGGCATGCCGAATAGCATCTGGCCTCTCCTGCTGGAAGAGATTAGAACGTGCCTGCACCCAAGCTGGTCGGTCACCTGACCTGACAGGCAGCACACTTGTCGCCCCACCCACCCAGGGCAGGGTATATATTCTCGCGCAACAGTCTCTCTCTCGCTCTCTCGCTCCCTCCCCTCTCTCCCTCCCCTATCTTTCGCCTTTGTGCCGCGTGTGCTTGGGGGTGGCGACCGTCATGGCCGACTTGAGTGTGCGGAAGACCGAGTTGAAGCGGCGAATTGCGGAACTGAAGGTACGTCACGAGTGTGAAGCAGGGGTGGCGGTGGCGGTGGCGGTGGTGGGCATAGCCATGGCCACGCATTGGACACGTCGCTCACTAGAATGCTTGGGGTCCGGTTGCACAGGAGGAGGACGCGCCGGTCGAGACCATCGCCCCGCTCTACGACGAGTACAAGGTTGTGTCCGCGAGGCTCAAGGCCATCGCCCGCAAGGCTGCGGTCAAGGACGCCATCCGGGTGGCCATGTCCGAGGGCTCCGCGCGAGAGGACATCCAGCCACTGTACGACGAGTACCAACGGCTCAAGGCGACGATCGAGGCGCCGCTGCCGGTCGTGATAGATGACGTCGGACGAACTGGTCCGACGGCTGCGTCGGCAGTCATGCTGCTCTCGCCCGAGCCAGCCGCACCGCCTGCAACTCATGGCAGCGACGACCGACTGCTTGCCCGCAAGACCGAGCTCAAGGCTGCAATCAAGGCTGCGATGGCACGCAAGGCACCGCATGAGGAGACAGCGGTGCTCTACGCCGAGTACCAGGAGGTCAAGGCGCAGCTGGCGGGCGAGGAGGCGGGCATGAGCTCGCCGCCGCCGCCGCCCAAGCGGGTGCCCGACGACGTGGTGGCGGTAAGCATAGGCAAGAGTTTGCCTGTGGTCGAGTCGCCGACGACGCCGCGGTCGTGGGCCCGTGGCATGCCGCCACTGCAGCGGGCGCGACTCGAGTCGGTCCACAACATGGAGACTGCGCCGCAGCCGATGCGGATCCGGGACGGCGACGACGGCAGCCTCATTGTGGTGGCTGGCGCGTCTCAGTTTGAGTGTCTGCCATCTGAGACGCTTGGGGAGGTGTTTCAACACAACCTCATTGTGGCAAGTGAGCCACAGGCAGTCGATGGTGCACCGCTGGCTCTCTCAGTCACCATGGGCGAGTTCCGCGAGGCCGGGATGGCGATCAGGCTTGACAGCGAGGTCTTTGTCCTTGACTTTGCGTCGCGGTCCGCACCGCAGCTTGATCCGCTGGCAAACGCCGGGACCGCGGTCCGGCTCGCGTACCGCGACGACGGCGCGCTGTCTGTGGTCGGCGACCTCGCGGCGGCGCCGGCATTTGTGGTTGTGCTCAATGAGAGCGGGCAGGCGTGCACCCACGTGATCATCGGCGGTGAGGGCTTTCCGGTCTCGCCGGGCGAGACGGTGGCGACGTGGGCGGCAGCCACCGAGGTGCCGGTCAAGGCCATCTTCTCGTCGACGCTCGGCGAGACGCTCCCGTTCACGGTCTCGCTCCACGCATTTGCCACACTTGCTGTTGCCATTGCTATCAACAACATTGTGTACCGGGTGGTGGCCAAGGACGCTCATGGTGAGCCGTGGAGCGCAACGCCGCGAGCAATGCAGCGGGCCGGCCACCGGCGGACGCGGTCAGCAACTGTAGAAGAGGCTCTGCCCGAGCTCGACGAGCGGCAGATTCCGCTCCGTCCGGTCGAAGCCCACTGTCGGATCCGCTGGCCACGAGTCAAGAAGCGGCTGATGCAGCGGACGTGGGCGACCGAGCAGGCCTTTGTCCGCCTCCTCCCGTTCAAGAACCTCTTTCTGGTGTATCCGGACCACGGCTCGATGTTTGCGAAACAGTCGCACCGGGTGCCAGATCTCGAGCCGCTGCTTCCGTCGAGCTACGCTGAGACCGACGGGGCGTCGTGGCCGCGACTTGGCGGGCTCTCTGACCACGACATGTCGCGGGCGCTTGTGCTTCGGCGGACCCGGCGCGACGCCACGGGCGAGCACCCCGCGCTCCTAGTCCTCATTCTCAACTCGGCCCAGGAGCGCGATTCGTGGCTGACCCAGCTTCGCCGGACACGTATGGCGTCGGCAAAGACCCGGTCGTCAGTCACGCTCCCGCCTGCACTCTCGCTCGAGTCGCTCCACGAGATGGAGAGCGACGAGACGTCAATACGATCGTGCCAGGTGTGCGGAACGGCCAAGGGCTCGATCACAAAGTTTGACTGTGGACACGGCTCGGTCTGCACCCACTGTGCAGCGCTGCCGCAGGTCTCGTGTGCGGTGTGTGAGGCGGCGCGGCGGATGGCGGTCCGGCACCTGCCGCGCGAGTGCCACGTCTGCGCCACCGTACCGCGCCTGCTGTACGACATGGAGTGCGGGCATGGTCGGCTCTGCCGCTCATGCCGCGACACCAAGCAGCTGACGTGCGGGACGTGCGTCAAGGAGCGCAAGGCACGGCTTGCGGAGCTTCCGCGGGCATGCCAGACATGCGGCGAGTCGCGGGCGCGGCTCTCACTGCTCGAGTGCGAGCATGCGTACATTTGCGCCTCGTGCGCCCGCCTCCCCAAGTCTCGTGCATCGCCTGCGTCCGCGAGGCCAAGGAGCGCTCGCGCGCCCTTGCCCGCATCTGCCAGGTCTGCCGTTCAACGCCGCGCCGGCTCATTGCTCTCGACTGTGAGCACGGCTTTCTCTGTCCCGGCTGCAACGCCATTCCCCAAGTCCAGTGCATCGTTTGCTCATCGCACAGTGTGGTTTAACGCGCTGCGCACAGGCGGACTACGGCTGCGCAACCGGGCCGATGCCATCAACCACCGTGGGCGGCGGCGCGACTCGGATCTGTTGCGGCGAGATGGGGAAGGGCGGGAGGATGGGCGGAGCCGAAGAGCACGACGAGCTGTCGTCGTCGCTGAACTCGCCCGACGGCACCGCGTTGGACTCTCGCAGTCGCTGCTTGAGCGACTTCAGCTTCTGGGCCTGAATGTGAAGCGCCTGCTGTCGAAGCGAGAGCTGCTGGCGCTCGTGGGCAATGTCAGCGTGCTCGCGAATCATGGTGAGGACCTGTTCGGGCGTGATTGGCATTTCGGGCGAGAGCTGGGTCGCTACCTCGGAAGCCATCGTTGCCAGCTTGGCAGCCTCGGGCGAGGACGGCTGCGGTGTGTGTTCGGGCCGTGGCGGAGTGACATGACCCTGCAGGTTGTGGCCTGACGGCTCGATGACGTTGATGTGCGGCTGCTCGCCGTATGTAGCATACACGCGTGCCCGTTTCTTGGCCCGGCAGAGGAGCCAAGCGCCGACAAGACAGGCTGCAGCAAGTCCGACCACCATAATCCAGAAGAGGTAAAACCAGCCGGTCTTGGGATCGACAACAAACGGCGGCGGCGTGGAGGCGGCGGCAGCCGGGCCTCCGTTGACGCCAACGGGGCCGTCTGGCGCCGGGGGTGCTGGGGGCGCCGGTGGCGCACTCAATGGTGGCGGGCCAGGCGGCGGTGGGCCGAGCGGGGGCGCCGGGTTACCAGGTGGTGGCGGTGGCGACGCCAGAGGCGGCGGCGAGGCGACGCAAAAGTTGGGCCCCGAGATGCATTCCCCCGCGAGCGTGCCTTGGCATGTGTCATCGCGAGTGCACGGGTTGCCGTCGTCGCAGGTGACGGTGGTGTCGTGGACGGTCGGAAGAGCGCAGGTATCGCGCGTGCAGCACGGGGTGCTTGCTGATGGCTCGCACTCTTCGCCGCACTCAATGACTCCGTTGCCGCACTGCGGCGAGCTGATGTGCGACAGGGTCGAGGCCAGAATGTCGAGGTCAAAGGTCGACGGCGAGCGGGCTGTAAACGCCACCATTGCCGTCAGCGGCAAGGTGGTGGCAGTGACAAGGACCGGCTCAGAGTCGTCCTCATACAACGCGTCGCTGATAGCTTTTGCAGGGAGGAGGGTCGCTGGCTCGGACCACGATCCGCCCGAGTTGATCGACGTGACATACAGCAGGTCGTAGTCGGAGCCGATGGTGCCATCGAGATTGAGGTTCGACTGCCACGTGACAACGATGACGCATTCGGAGATAAAGGCGGCAGAAGGCGCGACGTCGACGTCAGCGTCGAGCGAAGCCAGCCGGCCGGCGAGAGGTGTTGAGCGCTGCCAGGTCGAGGCGTCGGCGTCCAAACTGAGTGCCACAAAGACATCAGCGTCGTTACCATAGGCCGACGAGCTTGAACCAGTGGCGTACCATGCGAGCAGCCAGTGCCCCCCAGTCGAGACAGCCACAGTAATGGCGAGGTCAAGCGAGCCGTCGTCTGACGCAGCGTTATCATTGACCGCTACCGGCGACGTCCACGACCGGCCCAACGATGCTGTGCTCAGTGCGACAACGTCGTAGTCGGCGGCAGCCTTGGCAGCCGGAGAGGCGTCGGCGAGGCCCGGGCGGAGGCCCGAGTATGCCAGCACAAAGGTGGGTGCGCCGTGGGCCGCCGTCGCGGCAAGAGCCGGCGCGACAGAGTTGGCGCCGTCGTCGATGGCGATGCCGGCAGCGTCGCGAAGCCGTGAGGCGCGGGTCCAACTCGCGCCACTGGTCGACGATGTGGCGACAAGGACGTCCCAGTCGCTTCCGATGTCCTCGCCGTCGAGCATGGTATTCTTGTCCTGCCACGCCACCATACACTCCCTGCCGATACAGGCGAGCGCCGGCGCGGCAAGTGATCCCGAGAAAACTGGCCCATGCAGCGTGAGCGGCGTCGACCAGCCGCGGCCGTCGAACGACGCGAGAAGAAGAACCGAGTCTGCGCCGGCGTTTGTCCGCTTTGTCCACACCGCAAAGGCAAGCGCACCGTTTTCGTTGGATGGAGCGGCCACGAGTACCACAGCGGCGTCGTCGTCGTCTGCGGCGTCTCCATCGCCATCAATGTTGAGGAGCGCTGCTGGCGGCGGCGGCGGCGGCGGTGGCGGCGGCGGTGACGGCGGAGTGTTGAGCTTTGTGACAGGCTCTGGCGGCGGGAGACTTGCGAGGACGTACAGCAGATCTAGGTCTGCACCATGGCCATGCCGTGAAGCCCAGGCAATGAGTGTCATGGGCGGGCTGAGCGAGGGGAGGAAGACGGCAGCAGGCGCGTAGTCGTCATCGCTATCGGCCAGGCCATGCTCGGCCGCATGGACAACCGGCGAGGGGGCGAGAGCACAGCACCCACTCAGTAGTGATGTCGCCAGCAACAGGAGCACAATCACCTCGGACATACCCATCATCCATCGCAGCGAGGCTGTATACGACGACATGGGTCGGGAGCCCGTGGCCTCGCACCGTGGGCCAGGGGACGGACTCGTGGGGAACAGGCAAGGCCAAGAAGCCCCACGTATGGCTCTGCCCGCAAGTGTTCGTCTCATTCCCGGCGTCTTCCCTGCCTGGATGACGAGACGAGTGCGGTGTGTGTGTGTGTGTGTATGGGTATGGGGTGTTGTTGTTGTTGTGTGTGTGTGTGTGTGTGTGTGTGTGTGTGTGTGTGTGCGCGCGTCTGTGTGTGTGTGTGTGTGTGTGGGAGTGTGTAGCTGCGGCTTGTGTGGTCTCAGCCGTTGCTGTGTTCTCTGCTGTAAGGAAGGTATCGTAAGGAAGGTATCGTTGCCCAACGATAAATGACATGTCGCTGGTGGCAGGCCATGAACGGCCATCGTCGGCTGAGACTGGCATGGGCAACGGCAGCGGTTAAATAGTAGCCAACTTGGCGCGTCGATCAAGTAACGATGACGATGACCCACAGCCATGAATTGCAGGCTTACCGTAGTTCGATGACAGTTCGATCATTGTCTCAGTTTCGTGCTTGTGCCAGTGATCGCCGTCGGTGGGTCCCTCCGCCACCGGCATTGGCGGCGGCAACAAGTGGCTCGGCGACAGCAACAGCGACAACTTCCCATTTGAACTGGTTGGTGGCAGTACTCCTCTCTCCGCCCACACCATGGCCGAGGACGACACCTTTCCCGTGCTGTGTGAGGTATGCCTGGGACCCAACCCATACCTCAAGATGGTACGTCTGCTGTCCGCCTCTCTTGCAGTCGCCCTCTCCCGTGGTCGCCTAGGTAGCGCGACTTGCGGAAGGGCGCCAAGGATGACCGACGAGGCGACCACAGCCTTACCCCCCCCCCCCCCCCCCCCCACCCACTTATTGGCATATACTCACTGCTCAGCGTGCGGTGCGGACAGACACGGGCGAGGTTCTCGAAAGAGTGCAACATCTGCACCGAGCCGTACACGGTGTTCCGATGGAGGCCAGGAGGAACGGCTCGGTTCAAGTCGACGGTCATCTGCCACCCAGTGAACGGATCTGCCCCCCCCCCCCCCCCCCCCCCACACTTATTGGCATATACTCACTGCTCAGCGTGCGGTGCGGACAGACACGGGCGAGGTTCTCGAAAGAGTGCAACATCTGCACCGAGCCGTACACGGTGTTCCGATGGAGGCCAGGAGGAACGGCTCGGTTCAAGTCGACGGTCATCTGCCAGACGTGCGCAAAGGTGAAGAACGTGTGTCAGACGTGTATGATGGACCTGACCTTTAATCTGCCGGTTCAAGTCCGTGATGCGGTGCTTGCCGAGGAGGCGGCCAAGGGTGCGTCGGGTGTGGCGGCGGGAGCGACGGCCGCTGGCGGCGGACCGCTGGCTCTGCCCTCGCAGCTCATCCCGGTCTCGGACAAGATGGTCAACTACACGGCGGCACAAAACAGGGCGGCGGTGGAGAAGGGTCTCATCAAGTGGGGTGCAGAAGTTGCGTCGTCGCGGCTGCAGAGCATGGCATCATCAAAGATGAGCTACAAGCGCAACCGTGCCCGGCCGTGCACCTTTTTCCTCCGAGGCGAGTGCAACCGTGGCGATGAGTGCCCGTTCCGACACGAGATTCCCGAGCACGACTACAACTTTTCACACGAGTCGTTCCGCAACCGTTACTACGGTATCGACGACCCGTACGCCAAGAAAATCCTGAGCAACGACGGCGGCGGGGGTGGGTCGCGGAGCGGGCGGTCCGGGGCGCGTGTTTCGCACGGGCACGGACCGAGCCGGCCCAAGCCGGCGCCGCCGGCTGATCCAGCTGCCACCACGTTGTTCTTTGGCGGCGTCGTAGACGCCCGCATCGGCGAGCCGGATCTGAGAGCGCTCTTTGCGTGGGCGCGCGGCGGCATCCGCTCCATCTCGATCCAGCCCAAGCATGCGTGCGCGTTTGTCCGGCTCGGCTCGCGGGCCGACGCCGTCGCTGCCATTGACCGCTACTGGGACGGCGTGGAGGTGAAAGGCCTCATGCTGCGGATCAACTGGGCCAAGCCGCGGCGGACCGGTGTGCAGGCAGGCGCGGCGCCGCCCTCGGCCATTGTTCAGCCCGGTGCTGCGGCGAGCTCCAGCAGCCGACCGGCGGCATCTGGCTCGAGCTCACTCGTCGGCGGGAACGGCAGCGATTCGGACTCGGACGATGAGGGCGGAGCTGGCGGCATCCCGGGCATGGGCGGGTACGGTTCTGTCCGGGTGCTCCCGCCTCCGGGCGCGACCAAGATTGTGTACCGTGCACAAGATCCGGCCCAGGTCGGAAGCACCAAGTAGAAGGCTGGGCTGGGAGTGTATTTAGCAATGGGGAGCGTTACGGACCCGGGCGGCGGAGGCCTGCGGCGGCCAGTGCCGCATTGTCGTCGACGACAAATGTGAATGGCGGCGGCGGCGGGCGCTCGGGTTCTGCAGACGGCACGTCGACGGCGTCGAGCTCGACCATACGGATGCGGAGCTCCATCTCGGCGAGCTTTGCGGCATCTGCCGAGGCCTCGGGCGAGATAAGCGGCTGGCCGGTGAGGGCGCGGAGGCCGTCGGTCCAGTTGACAAAGACCTTGCGGTCGCGGGCGACAGCATCGATGGTCATCTCGCCCGAGGGCGTGGGGCTCTTGAGGACGATGGAAAAGGCGAGGTCGGTGATGGCCGGGTCGGGCTTCTTGAGAGCCATGACCATAGGCGACGAGGCGCCGATGGCGACAGTGTGGACGTCTGAGACGAGGATAGGCTCGAGAACGGTGATGGCGCTGGCGGCCTCGACAGGCGAGCCCTGCGGGTCAGGCGCGGAGCCGAAGCGAATGTCCTGGACTGACTCGCCGACCATGATCTTGACGACGGTCCGCTTGACAGCCTTGCCGTCCTGCGTGTAGGCCGAAAACAAGGTAGGTGTCTGCATGGCAGCAATGCGTTGGGCAGCGACGAGTTCGAGCATCTCTGCCGTGAGCGAGGCGCGGAGCTCCTCGACGATGGGCGCCTCGGCCTCGCGAAGCCCCATGGCGGCAAAGGCTTCCTCAACGGTGCCGATACGCTTCTTGAGGCCTGTAGCCATGAGAAAGGCGGCGCGGCGGAGCGAGGAGAGCGACTCGGGGTTTGCACGGATGACCTCGGCAAGCTTGGCAAGAATGACGGCGTTGCCCTTGCTAAAGTCCTCGTATGTGCAGTTGAGATCGTTCCACATCTTGTCGTAGGCCTGGGCACAGATGGCAAAGACCTCGAGGAAGGCGTCGCCCTCAAAGAGGCCGATGGCCGAGCCGGCGTCGTCGCTCGACGAGGCCGGCTGCGGTGGCTGGGCTGCGGTGTCGAGGAGGCAAAGGAAGACGGTGCCCGGCTCGCCGGGCACGCGCTCGCGGTTGAGCGACATGACATCGATCATGGTGGAGACGATGGATATCCAGGCGGCCGAGAACGGGTAGTCGCGCTCAGGGCGCTTGGCCTGTGCGGCTACAATAGTGTTGCCGATCTGCGGTGCCTTTTCAAACAGCTGCATGGCGACGTGGATGCCGAGCATTCCTGTGGCGCGCAGCTCTGCGGCCGGATCGGTGGTCTGGAAGCCGAGCCGGCGCCAGTCGGAGAGCTCGGACATGGCCTCTTCCGGGTACACGAGCGCCCAGTAGCGGAGGAGCAGAAAGTCGTGCTCCTCGTTGTCCGACTCAAAGTTGGAGAGCAGGAGCTTGCGGCAGGCGCCGAGGCGGTAGTTCTGGTACACCACCGTGGCCTCACGGAACGCCGGGAGGTCGACGACGTTGACCTGTGACTTGAGGGCAGCATTGAAGCCAAAGGCGTCGATGGCCTCGTAGAAGCGCTCGCGCGTGGCCTCGTCGGTGGTCTGCATGATGATGCCGTTGACGGCCTCGAGTGCCTCCACCTGGACGTTGAGATCTGTCGAGTTGATGTGCTTGACAAGGCAGGTAAACGGCGGGCCAGCGTCGAGGTTTGCCCGGAAGCGTTCGTTGATCATGGCGCCGACGGGCGCTACCTTGGCATCGACGCCACGGCAGAGGCCGGTGATGATAGCCAGGGCGTGCTTGACTACGTTGTTGTTCGGCGACGAGAGCGACTCGATGACCTTGTCCAGCACCGGCGCCTCCATGGTCGCCCAGTCGGCCGAGTCCATGGCCAGCGGGTAGTCGGCGAGCGCGTACGAGAGGAGATTACCCTTGGCCGAGAGCACAATCTTGGTGAGGATGTCGATGCCGCCTTTCTGGACAAAGACAACTGCAAACGGCTGGTCCACAAGCTGCTTCTTGAGCTTAAAGATGGCGTTCTTCTTGTCCTTGGGATCTGGCGACTGCAGCTGGTACAGCGTTTCGGCCACCGCAAACTGCGGGCGGACGCAGAGCTCGAACTTCTTGCCTGCCAGGATAAGCGTCGAGTTCCACCGGTCGTCGGTGATGTACTCGCGGGTGTTCTCCACCACAAGCACCATCGACTCGACGTCGCGCTCGACCTGGAGCGCGGTGCAGACCTTGTCGAGCTGTGTGAGGTAGTCGGCCGACGTGTCGAGGCTGACATGGGCCGGTGGCTTTGGTGGGAAGCTGATCTCCGTCGTCGCCACTGTGTAGTTGCGGCTTGCTGCCTGCTGTGAGTCGTACTGTCACGAGTCAAGCCCATACCTACCGGCCGGAAGCGCCTGGCGTCGTCCAAAAAATGAGCGTTGGGGAGAAACACGCACGCCCAGCGCCCGCCCATCCTTGCACCCGTGTATAGGTCGTAGTGCGAGCCCACGGTGTGCCTGGCGGCAATGTAATGTTGAAAGCGCGGTGGGAAGGTCTGGGTGTGCGGGAGGGGGAAAGGGGAAGGGCGAGGCCGAGGGGGGAGGGGGGGAGGAGGAGGCACGCCGACTCGGAAGGAAGACTCACTTTTCGGGGTTGTGGTGCGACGGGTGAGCGTTCATCAGCGAATGAATGCCCACCGGCTGGACACCTGGTGCCATCTCGGCCCTCGCCCGTTCCAATCTCATTCATGGCTTGCCGGCCGTTGCCTGACCCGATGGGGTGAGGCCTGCCAGCCCGGGTGCACGATATGAGTGATGTGCGGAATCGAAACTCTCCAACTTGTGAGTGGGCGGCGGCTTGGGCCCTGAGCCAGAGCTCTGCTATGCTAGATATAGTTGGCGTCTGTATCGGCAGTGCGACGCTTCTTCTTGGTCTCCTTGGCGCGCTGCTTGGACTTTGCAACCTGTGCGCGCTCCTTGAGCTTTTCGTGTTTGGAGCGGAGAGCCAGATCAAGAGCAACGCCATCGTAGACCCAGTTCGACTTGACCAGCGCTTGTGCATCGCGATGACTGGCAAACTCGACGTACGCCGATCCCGCAAAGGCCTTGGACTGAGCCCGGCGATTGAGCTTGACCGAGAGGACCACTGCGCCAGTCTCTTCCGTCACGGCCTGGTACAGTTCATCGGTGGTGATCGACTGCCGCAGTGGCGCCACATACACCGATCTCTTTTCCTTGGCTCCCGAGCCTGTGCATGGTCAGGGCGTGAGTGATGAAGGGTGCGGGGAGGAGGGGAGGCGAGGGGAGGGGAGGGGAGGGCTAGCATGTGGCTGTCCGGCCTACCTTCTACCTCTGTGTTGTATTTGGAGGCAAATGTGCTGCGTGCGGCCATGTCCAGGGGGGGTGGGGGGCTATGTATGTATGTATGTATGTATGTATATGTGTGTGCTTGTGCGTGGCGTGTGTATGTGTGTGTGTGTGTGTTGTGGTGATGCCCCTTTGCGGTGTGACGCCGGTGCAGAGGGCTGAGCGCGGCTCCAGTCAATCGTATAAGGTGACCCTATCAGTAGTCGACAAGAGGTTGCGAGGTGGGCTGTGACGATGGCGATGGTCGCGATGGCGGTGGCGCGGGGGAGGGTGGCGGCTCTTCGACAAGGTTGGAGGCGAGTGGCAAATGGCGGCGGATGGAGAGGGTCGGGCGAGGACGGGTGCCGATGTGCGACTTGGCGGAGGCGACGGCGGAGGCGGCCGAGCGGGCAGACGGCTTGCGGACAGTCATGTCAGAGCGAAGCGAGGCAAGCTTCTTGGACGGTGGCGGCGGAGGTGTGAGTATGGGCTCGCTGTCGAGCTCGGCCGAGTCCCTACGGCGCTTGGCCAGGATGCGCCGGCGGATGGCGGCACGCGCTGCGGCGGCGTCGGCCGGCGCCGGCGTGGCCAGCCGGACCGACGCTGGACAGAGGTGGGCCTCAGCCTCGCGACGCGCAGCCTCAGTGGCATGGCGCCGGGAGCGGGCGGCGGTCCGCGCAGCTGCCAGCGGGCCGCCAAGCGCGTCGCGGTGAAGCACCTGCGAGCGGGCGAGCGCGGCCTCGAGTGCGTCGTAGTCGTGGACAGCGGCCTCGGCATCAGGCTCGCCGAGCAAGCGGGCCTCGAGCGAGGCAATGGCCGAAGCGTGCGGATCGGTCTCGAGTCGGGGTAGTGGAGGTGGACGCGTCGGCTCGGCTTTGCGCCGGCCGCCGGTAATGACTGCAAAGTCGCGATGCTTCGGATCCGTAGCGAGGACCATCGGCGCTGCTTTGTCGAAGCAGAGCGGACACGGAAAAGTAAAGGTGAAGACCGGCGTGGTGTAGTAAAAGCCGACATGGTCCTTGGTAGCGGTTGCCCGCGAGCCCTTGACCGCTAGCCCTTCGCATCGGTTGCACCACACCGACCACGGCAGCTCGAATCGGACTGAGATGGTCGGCTGCCGTCGCATCGCCGCCTTGGCCTCCTCTTCGGACGCGCCCGGCATCGAAGCCGTCAGCGCCCGTCGCCGTGCATCAGCCTCTCCACCCTCGATGCGACGTGTGTCTTCAGCCATCAGCACCACCGTGAGAGGGACGGCTACAGATGCAGACGCAGCAAGGGAGCGCGAGACGGGTGTACCTGTGTGTGTGGAAACAGCAGTCGGCGACAGATGAGACGATCCTGACCATGATGACGGCGATGATAATGATTATGAGTTGTGCGATCGCATGGGATGTTCCTTTGCGAGTCGAGGAGGCGATGGCTGTGTGTTTGTGTGTGTGTGTGTGTGTGTGTGTGTGTGTGTGTCTGGGTGGTCTGTCTGGGCAGTCACAGCAGTCTGGACAGCCAAAGCCGACGAACCGCCGAGCCGACACGACGACCCAAGTTGCGGACCAGCACACTCGGCTCTTCCTCTGCAGCATGTCGCGCGGCGGAGGCAACTGGGACAAGCACATTTCCATCTTCTCCAACTCAGGTATGTCAAGGTTTACGAGAGCCATGAGGACTATGAGGGTGGTGGTGTCAGTGGTGGTGGTGGTGGTGTGTGTGTGTGTGTGTGTATGTGTGTGTGTGTGTGTGTGTTGTGTGTGTGTGTGTGTGTGTGTGTG